TATATATATATATCCTTTAATATTTGACTATGATTATATATATATATAAGAGAAACCCAAGAATAATATATTGGATATTTTTGGTTAAAAAAAAAAAGATCTTAATTGTCAAAATGAACATTCTTTTTGTTGTGTTTACTACTTATTTGGTTACCAATATCCCAAAAAAATATTTGCAAAGAAGCTCCTTTGCTTGGTTTAGGATTTTATGTATAAATGATTATAAGTGATCATAATTACTATAATCAATTATATATTACTTTTAATAGATTATATATTTAAAAAAATTGTTTTTCTAAAATCTTTCATAAAGAAATAATTTTTTAAATTATACAACTTGTGATATTTAAATATAATTAATTATATATTTGTTTAAAAAATTATTTCCTAACTCAAAATTTAAAACAAACCGGCTAATTTTTTTTGAATCGGCTTCCCTACATTTCTTTTCTCGAGATGCTGCAACCAAACATACCCTTAGTTTAGCAACAAAATTACTCGCTTATTATTACGTTATTAAAAAAAAAAAAGAGAGGAAGATTAGTTTCTGAAAAGAACACTCAACACACGTGTCACAATTACGAGATTTGAAAGGATTAGCAAAACAATAAAAAGAATGCAATAACTCGTGCGACCTCCGTACTATAATCAAAATAATCCCACGTACAACGGCGTCGCCGGAATTCCTGCTGCCGGATCCGGCGACAACCATATCCACAACAGATCGCGAAGAAAATATGGAATTTTTCGGTGTTAATTCATTGATCCAAAAAAGAGTACAGCAACTAATTACCAAACAACGGAGAAAAGGAGGAACGATTTCTCCGTTGCAAAAAAGGGCGATGATCAGCTACTATTCACATCCCGAGCGCCGTTGATTTCTGTTCCGATGAATCTCGCAGCTCTCACCGTAATTTCTCTTTCTCTTTCTTTTTTTTTTTTCCTGTTTTCTTAGCCTATTTTTTAAACTAAAATAAACAAGGAAATTAAATTTAGAAAAAAAGCGAAATGAAATCGCGATCGTTGAGTAATACGATCAGGGAAAAAAAAAATCAGGCGATTTCCGGTGGGGGGAGGTTCAGATCCAGACCGTTGAGTCCACGTGGCTTGATCTCGTGGTGGTTCAAATCCACGACAGAGGACGAATCGGAGTCGCTCTGTGCTCCGCCATTGAACGCCACATGAAAATCCGGATGATCGATTCTCATCCTCGGATACTGACTCTTGACAGCCCCGGCGCCAACAAAGGCGTCACAATAAAAAACTGGGGGAGCCGCCATCGCCGGCATGGTCCCGGCGAAAAATCCGGTAACAGGAGATAACTTCTGGAAAGGAAACCTAACGGCGGCGGCAGATCCATATCCGTTTCCGCCGCCGCCGCCATGGCCGAGGTTGAGATCCAACGGTGAGGAATCAATCATCAGGGTCGGCTCACGGCTGGACGACTCGACGGTACTACTCTGGCTGGGACTCTGATTGCTATTGATATTCTTACATTTAACGTTGTTGTTGACGTCTTCGCCGGCAAGGGAGAAGTTGGTTTTCGCCTTAGCGCCACGAAACTCGCGAGCAGCGTTGTCGTAGGCACGAGCAGCTTCCTCGGCGGTATCAAAGGTACCAAGCCAAACACGGCTCTTCTTCCCCGGATCTCTGATCTCGGCAGCGTAACGTCCCCACGGCCGCTTCCTCACTCCCCTGAAATGCACCTCCTTCCCGCCGCCGTTACCAATACCCTTAACAGCCGCCGCCTTCTCTCTAGGCGCCATTTAGGACAAAAAAAGAATAATATAATAATAATAATAAATGAAAACGGGTTTGGATTTTTGTGAGGAGGAAGTGCGGTTTGGAATGGGAAATGGAATGCTGGGAAGGGGAGGAGAGGACGGGGTGGTTTTTATAGAAAGGGGATCGGCGAGGAATTGAAAATGGCGCACAGTCAACGAGGGATTTGACTGGGGGGCGGCTGCGGAGCGGTGGTAAAATTAGTAAGGTAGTCCCCAAATTACGTGGCATGTGGGTTGTGTTGAAGCCAGCATACTCTCATCATTATCATTATCTAACGGCTGTTATCACCACGGTATATTGCGTGCGGTGGTGTGGGGCTCCGTCTCACTCTCTCCTCTTGCGCGTGATTAACTTCCCTCCCAACACTTTTCTTTATTTTCAATGAAAATTTTACTTATTCACAAAAATATAAGAAAAAATTATTTTATAATATAGATTATATGTAGTTTATCTTATAAAATTATTTAAATACTTTTAATAAATTTTT